GCCTTGGGCGGATTTACAGGCCGCTTCTGCCCCACCCTCGCACAGCAGGCAGCCCGACCCTGTGCCATCTGCCGGGCCCCATCCCCATTATGACGACCCCGCCCTCGATTTGTCGTGGGGCCTCGAAGGGGTCTCTGTGTCCCCAGGGGACCACCCCCAGCGGCCCGAGACGGTCGTTAGGCGGGTTTGAACTGTGACGGATGAGGTCACCTTCCGTTGGGCTTAGTTGCCGAGGGGTTGTGGGGTAGTGGGGTAGTGGACAGGGACAATAGGACGTCGGCGGGCATACGGGTCCTTGGGATGTTTTTTGTTTGAACGTTTTTGTAACTTTTTGTTGTTTGAACATTTTTGTAACTTTTTGTTACTTCTGGCCTTGTGTGCGGTGGTTTCTGAACTTGCATTGTACCTTCATAATGTCCTTGAGCACTGTAAGGAAAAAAGGGAGTCCTGGCCCTGCGGCAGGTCGGAACGGCAATCATTTAGAAGATAGGTGCAGTGGGAAGGTAGTCAAGGTAGTAGTGAGGGCTTTGGGACAGGAATTAGGACGGGCTTGGGGTGACTTCGCGCTAGTATAGCTTTGCGGACAGGAATAGGGAGGGCTAAGGGAGACTACGGGGTAGAGCATGCGGGTGGAAGTGGGACAGGCTGGCAAGGGGTAGTAGGGATGCTGGGTTTCAATGGGAAGTGCAAGGGAAAGCAGTACGGACAGAAAAGGAGCCAGCAAGGGTGCAAGTAAAAACGAACGAGGAACTTGTACTATAAATGGATGCTCTTATGTGTAAGAATGCCCCTCTGCGCCCGACGCCCTGCGGCGGACGGCATTGGCTCAAAGTGTTCTGAGTGTGCGTGAGCTCTGCAACGAACGAGCAAAGCGTTGGTCCATCGCGCGTGATCCCCGCTACCTTGCATAAACAATGACTTACAGCATGAACAAAATGGTGGCCATCTCCCACGTGCAGGCCGTCCAATTGCGTATGCTATCTCCATATTGCGGTTCCTCCATCGCGGAACCGCACTGTCCCCAAAATGCCTCCAAACCTCTTATATGTCCCTTGTATCCCAAGCCAACCTAATATGTACTATATTGCAGAATTGTCAAAGCACAACTCATACGATATTGGTAGGATGTCAAAGTCAGCAAATACACGTTTGAACCCCATTTTTCACCACATGTTATGGGACATTTTGAACGGAAGGAAGTTTAGCCTCCGTGAAACTGAGATCCGGCCAGAATCGATGGAAGAAGGCAATGATGCGTCCATACCACGATCGAGGAATGGTAGAGAATTGCTGAAACCCGGACTTGAAAATGGCGGCATGAACCCGAGTGTTGGGTAGTTCCACCACTCGATTCCAGTATCGCATTAATTGTTTCCATAGGTAAAATTCTAAAGGAAGTGCTCCCATTTTGGCATATATAATCCCTAGTGGCGTATGGCCAGGAAGGCAAAGAATTTGGCGAAAGAATTGAGATCCCATAACATAAGTTTTGAATAGGTTGTATGCAATTTTAGGATCGGTAATGCAAAGAACACATAACCTTTGAAGAATTAATCCTTGAGCTCGGCGTGCCCTCCCCAAAATAGCATCAAGATGGGGCTGAAAAATGATCCAACTTTCAGAAGAAATTCCAATGCCTAAATAGACGTGTTCATTTGTAATTGAAATGTCCCAATTGCCAAACCTATACTTATCAGGGGCCGCAGTAAAGCAAGCCATGATTCGAGTCTTTGAGAAGTTTGGCCCAATTCCCGGGCCTGCTTCATAGAATACTTCAATGCTCCATTAATTCACTTCTCCATCAATTGGGGAAGACTCCCCTTTAAATATCGCAACAACACGATGACAGATTTTTATGTTCAGAGTCTGAACGCAAAGGATGCTACTTCGGAAATGATGATATTGAAAATCCTCCGCTTCGCCTCTCATCCTTTAGGCCCAGATGGAGAATGTCCGTCCAATTCAAGGGACGACACCCCAGCTTTTGTGGACACCTCGGGCGCCCAAACTAAACGCCAACACAAGAAGCAACAAACCTCACACATTTCTGCTCCTACGCTAAAGCAAAACTCCCCAAGGAATAGCGCCGGGACCACAAACCACCGCCACAGACAGCCACAGCGCAATCCACCACCATGTGGCCCCACCTCCAAGCCAACAGATCACCCCCGCCCCCCGCCCCCCTCTCGCCACCCCTCCTCCAGAACTTTCGCCGTGCAGAAGTCCAGCAGTCTGGAGTGCGACTGCCACAGCCGCTGCACCGCCTGCCGAGCATCTGTCAGCTCCCGCACCGCCCCCGTTTCGGCCCTTGAGGCCTCGGCCAGCGCCGCAAGTCTGGAGTCGTCCCCCTCGCCTCCGGAACACGCGGCCGGGGCCATCAGACCGTTGCGCCGAGCGATGGCGGTGTACTGGGCGCTGCCATCGACCAGCATGCGGGGGCCGGAGCCGCCGACGGGACCTGCGGCGCGCCACAACAATGCATTGGGATTTGACCCACTGCAATTGAAAGGTTACTGATGAGCCACAGGTTGTGGTGGAAACAAGTTGTGGATTGCAGGCGTGTTCGCCGAGAGCCACGGCATGCGTGGAATACACATCCAGTATACCTTATAAACAACAATGAACAGTAGCTAATGTTGGTCAATAGTAATAGCTCATAGGCACATGGATTGAGCAATCAACTCAAAAGTGGACTCGCGCATTCCCTTTCCTGTATTACTCCATCGCTGCTAAGCACGCTTCGGCACATCGGCACAAGACTTGTGCGTTCCTGTCATGATTTTCCGTTCTCGAATTTGGCCACAGCGCTGGAGACAGACGCGATGCAGGGTTGCTGCTTCGGAGCGCCAGATTGGACGGCGCCGGCGCACAAGAAGCGTTGCCAATGAAGGGGTGCAGCGTCTATGATGCTGCCAAGCTACCATACATGCAAAAACCTGAGACTTTGGAGGTGCATTGTTGACAAGGCGACCTTCCGAACGCAGACCCTTCACTTGCAATTTTCATCCAACGTGACCGCTACGTTTATTTGAATAAGCCTGACCCATATACCACAGCCAATCAGATTCCAACCCACATTGATGGCCCGCCATCAGGCAGCAACAGTCAAAGGGACCCTGGTCCTCATCCCGCATGCGGGTTTAGTTACTGCGAGGGCAAGGGATTGGTTAATATATAATGTGTGATATATGGTGTTTTTATGGTAGGAAGGTAAATGTGGTGAGTATGGCGTTATGGTGAATGTATATTGAGACAATAAAGACGGGGAGGCGAACGTTATTGCAGTGATTGTTATCTAGCTCGTACGATCATCCTGTAATGCATCTGGTTGCGGCCTCGCTTCTCGTGCCTGGGAGCGACCGCGTGCGAGCGCGCAGGAGCCCTCGGTTAACCTGCCAGTCACAATTGGCGATTCCATTAATTACTACTGAAATAGCATGATCATTATCATATCGTTACACAATTCAGCACAGCATAGCATGTCGCACATCATAACGCCACATGCTGTATCACGCTATATCACTAACATGTCATAAACAACATGTTACACGTCATCGCATCGTTGATATGTCACCACGCCGTCCGACAAATGCAAACACCAGGTCGATCACTTGCGCCGCCCCACCTGCGAACTTCGACAGCCGCGCCAGGGGCTGGGCGCCCTCCCGCCCGGCCACCCTGGACTTTGCGCCCAAGTCCGACATGGGGGGGTCGTGCGCGACCAGCAGGCAGGACACGGGCGCCTTGCCGGGGCTGCTCAGCACCTTCACGCACTGATGCGTCGCCAGGTCCCAGAAACGTACCGTTCCATCCTCCGATCCTGTGGGGCAGCATGCAAGTAATTCAATAATATAAATTTACTGATCAATGTATCATTGATGAATGATTGATCAATGTATCAATGAACCAACAAGTTCACTAATTCCAGATTAAATCCAGGAGTGGAATGCAGTCTGATGGCCAGGCGGCCACGCCCCCCACCTAGCAACCCACCCGGTTCCTGAAAGCCGCAGATTCGCCCGGCACAGAGCTTCACTGGCTAAACAGTCGCCGCAGTAGTTGATCCGATCGATCAATCCCTGATTCGGTGAGCAGAGATGGACAAATACACGAATGACTGTGCGAACGCGAAAAACAAACGTTTGACTGCGTGAAGCACTTTGGGCGTTAGGGCACAACGAACCACGCCAATTGTACATATCACAATATAACCATACTCAGCGAATACAACAATATCACATTCGCATATCACGAATACAGATTCTGGCACTTCTTTTTAATTTTGGACTTTTTTAATTCTGTATTCTGAACACCTGCGCTGCAGCGCCCGCAGTAGAACCGGCGACCCATTTCCTGCAAGAGCGCCACTCACCTGACAGCAGCCGAGCGCCGTCGCCGCTGATGCCCAGGCAAGTCACGCCTCGCGAGTGGCCCGTCATGGCTGACCAGTCGCGATCGCCCATGCCTGCGGCAGCAACAGGGGAGTCGCATCAGGGATAGTACCACAGAATTTAACGCAACCACGAGCACGACACAGCCATTGACAAAGAAAACACAAAGGTGCCATGTTGGGAAGCCACTGGAATGAAAGGTCAGGACACGCATTTATTACTATATAACATAAGCACTATCTACCAGCACAACTATCCAAAAAAGTAGGTAAATATTGCACATGATTACGTCAACGAATTGTTGATCAAATCGTGCAGTGAGGAAGTTTGCGGATTCGCTCAAGAGGCTGAAATGTGCAGGACACGCTCATCGAAGTGCACTGAAGCGTCGCCCCTGCACCCGCCTGACGTTGTTCGCAGTTCGATCCCAAGCACACAGTTTCAAATTCATTGCTTCCCGCTGCACTTCGGACACATCCTTGCGCACAGTCAGCGAAGAATCTCAACGACGGAAAAGAGGCACAAGGGTCGCAGCAGGGAACCTTCGTGCTGCGTCATCAGGGGCACGACGAAACTGCTACAAGCGTTGTAAGTACTGCGTTTACGAACGAGCCCGAAATGCCTCGTAAATTTGTGATAAACAGCAGCGCCATCGCTGGCAACCATTGGAACGAACAGGCCATTGTGATTTGCAGCGGGTTTTGATCTGCCAAGGTCCCCAGACAGGCCGACCTTCATTATTTTGTGCATTCACTTTCACGCGATCATTGTCCTGTGTTCTACATCGCCTTGCACTTCCTACGAATTGGCACGACGCCAGCACATATTCTCCTGCGCCGGGGATAAGCCGATACAGAATGTGGAATCAACAAAACCAAAGTCCGTCCAACACGCCTAAGAGGGGTCACGGCACTGCCCAAGGGCGCAACATTCAGCACATACATTCATGCACACAGCCCAAAGGGCTCAGCCCTTTAAATACTCCGCAGTTTCCCCGCAAGGGGGGTTGAATATTCAACACTTACTCTCAATGCCACAACGTAATTAGTGTTCGGAATTCGCCATTCAAACCTCACATCCATTTCTCCCCAAAACACAAAGGCTCGCCAATCGTGCAAACTGTGTGATAAACCAAGCCACCTCAGGACAGGGTAGCGTCTGTACACTGAAATGTGATACAAGGCAGGCTTGTATTCTCGTTTCGGTTCATTAAAACTAACAGAGACAGATCCAATTTTCCTGATTCTGCCAGGACTCCCCCGAAGCGTCGAACTTCTCTTTTGTCTTCTTGAGGCTGAGCATTCTCTTGGATTCGAATAACTTTGGGGCTTTACATCGCCTTGCACAATCCTGCTCGGTTACACAAGGCCCACATATCTGGTGGAATCAGAAAAAGGCAGGCTTGTTATTTACGTTTAGGTTTACGCTCTTACGCATAAAAACGTCAAGTTGCAAAAGTGGCTACTTTTAAGGCTGCATTTACGTTTTTGCGGACACCAGGTTAACATGATGAAAGTCACATGCAGTGATCAGTCCTCCACCCCTCCAGCTTACAAAACATGGGGTCCACCTCGCCCTCAGCAAGGGGGCAACGACGTCGCCGAACAAAACTCCGCTTTCTGTCCACTCCAGCGCGCCTGACTGCCGCTCCCCGGACCCCTTCAGTCTTTATGTACTGGCTTTACGTGCAGGGGTCTGTATTTACGCTGAATTTCCATATTTTTATGCCGTTTGCGTGTTAAAGCGTAGAAACTATCTTTGCGTGCAAAAACGCAAACACGATCAGTTTTTATGGCGTAAATAATAAGCCTGATACAAGGCTTTGGAGTTGAACAAACCCAGCCAACGTCCGCAAGCCCACCTTCCCGCTGCCCCACCAGCGACACCTCAAAGATCCGCCCGTCCTTGCCCCCCGCGAAGAGGCTGTGCTCTCCTTGGTCCAGGAGCACGCACAGGGCAGCGCAGGGCAGGCGGGCCGTATGCAGCAGGCTGCCGCAGCCCAGACTCCAGATCTTGCAGCTGCAGTCCAGGGAGGAGGACGCCACGATGGCGTTGGACTCGCCCAAGCCCACACAGAGGTCCGTGACGGGAAGGGTGTGCTCAGACCTAGGGGTTTGACACACTGCGGTTAGCGACGCTTTCACACCCTCTGGGGTTCCGGATTTGTGCTTGATGTTGTGTAAATGCGTGCATAGATACATCTGTCAGTTTACACAAACTTAGTGTTGGTACACTCGTTTGCAGCTTTTCTCTATCGCTTCCTTTGAGGCCGTGGTACCCACACAGTATTCCACATCCTCAATGAGAAATGCAAATGCGCTATGAACAATACACTACTAGTAGTATGAAAACATATTCCAACAGTAGGAAGTGGATGAGTATACGCACACACGCACATAATCATTTCCACACAAGATGCAAACAACAAATGCGACACAGCAGTTTCGTGTGCCCATTTCTGCGACCGAAGTTTCATTGGGATTTCAGGGGTGCTTGCCTTCCATTTCTGACCTGCGTTGTGTCTTCATTTGCAATTGTACATGGGTTTCTGTATTCACAACCTGAACGGGAGAAGCCATGGGACAGGGTTTTTTCCACATTTTGGGAGATATTTTCTTGAACTTCAAGACAAGAACTCCATTTTAAAGTTGTTTCAATTCTGCGCCGTTGGCCAGTTTTGGAGCCCTCATTACTGTGCATATGAAGCGTTAAGTACAACAGTGTCGCAATGTCACTGCAGCCTCAGATTTACATATCACACGCGACGATTAGAGAAACTTCCATTGTGAGAAGGAGCCATTCCTGATGTCAATTAATTGTGTCGATCAACATTGCAAACACCTGGTGTGGCATTTTCGCAGCTTCTCTAATCTTCTCTTGTGGCAGTACTTTTTGGCTGCCCTTGGCTCTTGGCAGTAAAATTTGACAAAATATGCAGATCTTTTTGTTGTGTGGATGTGGCTTGCAGTGCATTTACAACACACGGAAACAACACGTTGAACAGAGCACACATACCTACCTGCAATAATCACAGTGCGCAAGCACTCGCTGAACATGAGAACAGTGCTTGCAGTCTACATGGTGCTGCGGCACACCAAATTGTATGGCATTGTATGGAAGCACTTGAGGTTCTCATCAATTGAAAAGCAAGAACACTGAATGTTCCAACTACTAAACGGCAAGAGACGAGGTCTTTCGATGGAATCAGTGTACAAAATAGCGCTTGTACAGTTGTCTAGTCCCTTACCATGAATGAAATGGCATCGGCTTTGTCCATGCTGCTCCTTCCTCCCAGCATCCGTCCAGCACATCCGCAAGGATCCAAACGTTGATGGTCGCATCCTCAGAGCCACTTATCAGCATGCTGCCACTGGTGACCAGCGACAATGATGTCACTGCCTGTCACAGGGATGCACAGCTGCTCTTTTGAGGCAATACTTGTAGAAATGGTCCGATGCACATTTGTTGCATTGGTTGAGATGTGACAAATGCTACACCCTTGCAGCCACCAGGTTATGAAGGGTGTGGTGCAATACACAATGCTTTCTCCATTCAGCTTCGTTGAAATCCAGAAAAAAGGTGGAGCTCTTGAAGGCTAACATATGCCTGGCTTGCCTGGCATGTACAGGAGAGGGGGGGGGGGGGGCCTATTGAACAAACAGATTTGAAGGACTTGCACACCTTGTAGTGAGCAGGCCAGCTTCTCAGCAGCCTCCCTGTCGTCGCTTCCCAAACGTAGAGAGACCCAGATTTGGCACCGCCAACAATGTACACTCCGTCCAGAGTTGCGATGAGTGCATGCATGGGCTCTGGTGCAAACGAGTCATGCACCCACGCACCCTGGATGTCAAGAATCGCTCGTCAGGAGCAGAGAGTACCAGGAGCAATGCTCGTCAGTCATTAATTCTTTCCTTGCCGCCTGTATTGTCCTTTTTACAAGACTTGGCCTGCCTGGTTGAGGCATGGCCTCCAGTTAGTGCTGCGGTTTCCTTGCTGACGTTGCTGTCACATTTGCAGTGGTATCCAGTTTAACAGTCTGAGAGTACAACAGTTTCAAATACATTGGCTGTCTGGTTGGTGCCCCCTATACCCCAATACACACTGCAAAGAACACAGCAATTCAAGCAAAATACTACAGTGCTGATCCATTGTTCGCTGGCACCTGCAAGGCCTATGTTGTGCAGCGGGCACACAAGGTGGTGCTTTCTGGGATGCTGAACAACTACGGACTTGATGTTCTGCACCTGCCATAGCTGGCATGGGCATCGGCTCTGCCATGTTTTGGATGCAAGCAACCCGTGGAAATGCAAGCAATCTTGTGCAAACATGTTTGGCACATGTGCTGGCTGCAGATTTCCACCCTGAGGCAGATGGAAGTCACTGTGTTGCAAGTTTGATGTAACGTCCCCAATAGTTCACAGAAGCACAAAAATAGAAAATTAGAGGGTGGCAAATGAGAAGCAACAAACTGTGGTGTATGTGAGGTTGATCTGTGCTTATTAAAATGTGCTCGGGCCCCCACAGACCCAACTTCAAAGTACCACCATACAACTTGGCGGCAGCCCTGCACAAGAACGCAGGCGACTGCCTTCTACCGCCAGTGCATGCCCTGCATGTTTAGATGCGGTCCAAAGTCCATCACAGAGTCCATCACAGAGTCCATCAACAAGCATGAAGAATGCCAAGATGTCAAACGTCAGGCGATCAATTGCTCTTTGATTTCTAATTCGTCTGCTGCCCATCCTGTTGAATTGCTCTCGTTTGAGTCGCTAAAAATGTTCCGTGGAGCCGTGTTTCGGGTGTTCTTTTGCCACGCATTGAGAGACTCTTGCAGACTTCCAGACGAACAGTTGCCATCTGGTTATCTGAATCACAGAAGGACGCGGCACGGCCAGTGCGCCGTATTCTGCGCTGTTGTCAGGATGCATTCATTCTTGCATCCCTCCCGTCGCAAAACCACCACTGCAACACCACTCGGCCCATCGGATCTGTGTCAAGCAGGCACCTTGTCCCATGACCAGAACCGCAGCACCCCCTTGGACCTCTGCGCCGCCGCCAGGTACTCGCGCCCCACGGCGCACAGCGCGTTCCTCCCGCATGCCAACGGCTTCAGGCTCAGCAGCGTCGCGGCCGTCGACACGTTCCTGGCCACCGACACTCGCCGCTCAAACTTGGAAGCATGCCCTGCAATTAGCACCTGTCGAGGATTCGCCGCAACAATATGGGGCAGCGCATCGCGCCTAAGGCACGCCCCTCCTTAGCGGAAAGATGTCGAGACTCTGTTCCAGGCCGTGGCGATGTGGAGGCGCATTTGGAAGGTCATTTGCAACCTACCAGACCCACCCATCCAACCCCCGAGCAAACATCCTTGCGAGACTCTCCCCCGTGCTTTAAAGATTGCGGGCAGGTTTCTAGGCGTGGCAGTAACGGGACGCAGCGCAGGGCGCGCTCGCGGGCTGCAAAAGGGTCAACGCCGCTTCGAGCCAATAAAAAATGTCAGATCGCCCGCAGACAATCCAGCAATCAAGGCGGCAGGACTGGACATTCGGGACTGACGCGACTGCAGCAGTGGCGCATTCCGCGAGGCTCCCTCCCGCGCTGTGAAAGACGGCGCGGAAGCGTCCGAGCGCGGCGCGCCACGCGCAGCGCGCCCTCGCTGGCGGACCAATGCAAGAGGTCGATCAGGCAATCAAGCAGAGGCGATGCGCCTCCGCGGCGGCGCGTTGGCGTTCAGGACCGATGCGATGGCGGTCGAGGCGCCCGGAGCTCACCACACGGAGACGTTCGCTTCGCAGGAGCACGCCACCACGGCGGCCTGTCGGGCCATCCCCACGCTGGACGGCGGCCCCTGCTTGGCGCGCATTCAGCAGTCCAAGCAGGCAGCAGTTCAAGGAAATAGGACCTACAGACCACAATTTAGGAACCCTACTTCCGACAGACCAGCCTCCGGCGGCCACGTGCATGGTGCCTTCGAGGGCCTCCCTTGGGGCCCTTGGACGTTAAGCCGTGCCTTTTTGCTTCCGTTAGTCGTCGTATTCAAGGGTTGAGGTGCCACGCCCGTTCCACGCTGGAAAAATCGCCATTTCACACAGTTTAAGTCTGCGCATGAATCGTGTTGAACTGCTCAATCTGGTTGATCGTCTCTTACAGCAAACGCGTCGGAACTGTACCCAATCGCGTACCGTTACTCAATCCATCGCGTTGCAATGTATTGTCAACCGGGAGAAAGTTTTCACCGGTGTCCAAACACAAAGCGATGCCCAGTGCCTTTCATAAGTGCCGATCCTTGCCATCCATATGAGTTATTCATTTATTTTCTTCTCTTGTTTATCCGCTTACCTGCCATGTTCTCTCCCACATAACCACAATTTTCAGCCCAACACCGAAATATTTTCTTTGTAGGTGAAGCGGTTGATGAGCCCGGGCCTGAGCCCAGGGCCGCTGAAGATTGCCTTCTTCAACAAGCACAGCCACGTCACGCTATGGTTACATACCGCCCCCGCGCTGCAACAGAACGTAGAGTACCAGACAAGCTTAGTATCGCGTGCCTTGCTGCAGCAGAATGACACTTGCCTACGGGGCAAGTCTCCAGTCAAGGAGCGTCGGAAATTTCCACCTGATCCCCAGGCAACTGCAAATGCGCCATCGCCCTGTGATCACGTTACTCTTGGAGCTCAGAGGACCTTCCATCCCATGCCTCTATCCACGCAGTTGACATTGCTCATCGCCCCTTTAGGGTGAGATGAGCACACAACAGCTGCGCGCTGGGCGACGTCTACAACCGAAACAATCTCTTCACACTTTTTCTGACGTACTTCTCCGTTCTCCCTTTCTTTTCCTTTCAATTGGTTCTTTCTATCCTTGCCGTTTCTCCTTTCTTGCTTTCTCTCCTCCTCTGCGTTGGCCTTGTTCTATCTTCTGGGGCACCAATCCACCTCTCTGTGTTCTGAAATGTGGACCAATTGGCCCCTTGCAGGGAGCTCATGCAGGGCCACGTTTCCACCCACATGGCATCAGGACGATCTGCTCACAGTTCCTGAAAGACGGCATCAGAGGTGCTTCCGCAGCCACCAGCGTTCTGCTGTCAAGCGGCAAACGCAGCGCCCACAGCAGCACACAGGACCCAGAATGGTGCGGCAGCAGGTCTTCAGGAGCCAAGACACAGCCAGTCACTTCTTGTGGGAAACGGGTTTCTGTCCGCACTTTCTGTTTGCTCATGGCCTGGTCCTGCTCACGGGCTGCGAAACACTGTGGCTGCCAAGAAGGGCACAGCAGCGCAATACACCGCATCGCATTGCCCACTTCCACGGAACAGAACAGGGCAGCAGCGCTGGCAATGCAAGGACTGCTACGCCATATGCCCACCTTGCCCGAATAGGAGCCGTTTCTGGGCTCGTCGTTTCAAAGCCGTCTTTCGCTGCCCATGTGAGACCTCGTGCGCAGCGACATTTGCCATCTGCATTACAAGACAAATGCCACTGTTCATCCAACCGCCCCCGCTAACACTCTCCCTCCCCCGTCCCTCGCTTTTCATGCCATGATCTTTTGCGACCTCTCGAACAGATTGTCCACCACGCGCCCAGTGTTTTCGAACGTCAGGAGGGCCGCAGGGTACACAGCATCCTCCTTGGGCTCCTCGAAGAAGTCCAGGCACCCCGTCCCCTGGTCCAACGTCCCAGCGAATTTCTTGTCCAGGATCATCTGAGCACAGGGCAGCCAAAACGCCGTCAGCAAAACTATAAAAAACATTAGCGATTCGACACAATTTACCATTTTAAGAGAATAAAACTGTTGAACACCCCTTGCAAATAATGAACCAAATATTTTCGGATCAGAACCCAATTGTGTGATCTTTTCCTTTTGCTAATTTATATTCAGGATGCATACACATGCCATTGAAGACCCACAGCCATGAGTGCCAGACACATAAACGGGCATCGTTGTTCTGGGGAGCTGCCTTTCTTAACATATCCCTACCATAGCTTCATCTCACTTCACAGAAATCACAACCTGCATGTCGTTACTTACTTGAACCTGTGCTATGACATCCAAAACGCAATGCGATCTGAGAGCCACTGCTATTCTATCAGGGATCCCCCCTTGCCCCCAGTGTTCAGTGCCGAATATCTTTCTTCAGAACTCATGCATTGGTCGTGCTACAGCTGTGCAGTCATTTCACATCAACAACCAGTGAGACATGGACATTTTCATTCTGTGTACAACCATGGGCTTCAATCCTTGTGCGGGCCTACACCGCTCTGCATTACACTGAAATGGTGAAAGACCACAGCTCTTCTTACAAAAGAGGTGCCAGCTGCACTCTTAGAAAAGCCACAGCACTACTACATTTAGCATATCTACAAACGACGCGATGCTTGCTCCCATTGTGGGGAACTGCAAAATAACACAATGATTCACCTTTGGGAAGATGCAAAAGAGAAACAACATTACAGCACAAAAACGACGCCAGTATTTCTGGCATAACTGGTGACCGGCAATGCCACAATTGCGCCATTTCGGCTTCGCGAGTGCTTGAAATGTCCCCGCACTGTCACTCTATGGGCCCCGCACTATACGCGGCCTCACGGTCGTTTCCCGTTCATAAATCTGTTCATTTCTCTCCAGGGCCAAAGAAACAATGCACATTGCCACCTGATAATTAACACATTCGCCGATCAGTGGGTCTCATTCGAGCGCCAGCTTTTGAGCACGACCGAAAGGGTCTGTTCTTGGCTTCCCGGGGCTGCTCACCATCTGTTAATGGTACATGAGCCTCTGCAAGGGTGATGCAGAGCGCAAAACATATGGGGAGATGCTGTTCGGCATTCTGCGGAAGAATAAACCCTTCTAAAGCGACACAAACTTTTCAAAATGCAGAAATGCTAAATACACTGTGGTGTGCCTCCCACAGCCACAAATGCCACTCCCACCTGTGACAGTTTCCTCTCCACCACATCTGTCGGCAATTCGATCAGCTTGGCGATGTGGTCGATCTCAACCCTGGAAAAGGGCTCAATCAGCCGACACAAATTCTGCTCCATGAGAGTATCGTAAAGGACAGACAAATGGGAGTGAACGACAGGATCTCCAGCAAGCTGCTCCTTGTATTGATCCAGGCATTCCTGCACCAAAACATTCATCGCTATCACACATGTCAGAAGCCACAGCAGGTGCATCTGGCAAGTGTTTCCAACAAAACACCACCACACAAAGATTAATGGGTCCGCAATTTCGGTGGAGGACAGGTGCTACGCACTTTGACACATGACGAAAAAGCCACTCAAAGTGAATTTCCTGCATGTCCGTGCATCTGGATGTGTACCGTCGTTGATCTGAGTGCGGATGCAGAATCTGTATACACTACACTGCCAAACCACGCCCCTGCACATGCTGAGAACAATAACAGGCGTGCAATATTGGCCATGGTGATGGGACAAGATCCCGACCTGACATGCGTACTGGAGTTTGTTGCCTCAGGACAAAGACATTACACCATTTGGTTTGAGCCTTCCAGCAGTCTCATGAATGACAACAATAACTGCACAGCTTTCCTAATCAAGGGGGCTCTATCACCCAACATAATGAAAACAGTTCTGGTATCAAACAACTACAGCAACAACAACAGAATGCTGTACTTCTTGCCCTCAAGACTGTGCATTCCACTTCTCCAGTCAATGTACTGGGCTTCACATAGCTTCACATTTTCTTGTGGGGTGACGCAAGGCGCATAATCTCCTGTTCAGACGGAGTCTGCAACTGGACTCTTCATGCGATGCAACAATTGTGAATCCAAAAGCAACTTCAACAACACGAAAACATGGCTCTCCCATCAGGCCTGGAGTTGCACCCCATCAAATCAGTTCGAAACCTTCCAACCTGCGGAACAGGCAGTAAATAAACCAGCAACATTGCAGGGCACTCACTTGGAAAGCTTGCAATGACCGGTCCTTGTAAGCCTGGGCCACAGCCCGCATCGCATCCACCTCGATCCCATTGTACTTGAGGCCAGCCTTAGAGCTAATGATGCCTGGAACATCTTCGGCATTGTTTGTCATGATTTTGCACAGCAGCAGGTACTTCAACTTGTAGACTGCCTTGGGGTCATCCAGGGCGCTGCTCTGCTCGAACGACTCATAAAAGTAGGAGTAGGCGGTCTTGTAGTCATGCTCTTCCGCGTGCAACAACCCAGACTGAGTGTCGATCTGGTGGGAGGCACAGATTCAGACAGCCGGAAGTTGCACATATCCAATCTTTTTCTCCCTGAGCCTGATGCTAGGAGTAATTGTGACACATAGGTGGCGTTGATTATGATATCCGTGGCAGCCATTAGTGTAAGCACTGCAGGGCTTGTTGCACACAGTCTGAAACAAAAGTCAAACCATGTCAACAACAAAAACAATTGATGCTGTTAATCGGATTGAACAAAAAAGAGAAGCAACTGAAATGAAACATTGAAACTGGCTTTAAACTGAACATGAGATTATTGAAATTTTTCAATCTCCTTCCCTTCCCCCACTGTCATCACGCTAGTCAGCTCAATGGGGTGCACACCTCAGCTTGCAGACCAGGGGGTATGTACACAGCATTAGCTGCTGTCCGTGCAGCAGTAAGGGCTGCCCTTGCCCGTGGTATGTTCCTCAGGGCATGATGCACTGCAGGACAGACAATGCAATCAACATCGCTGGTACAGCTTGTGACTCTTCCATGACTCCAAACTTAGCCTCCACAGCCTACTGTGCACAAAATATCATCCATAGACCTCTGCCATCAAAATTGAACTGCAAATTGCTGACAGCTGTTGATGCCCTGCATATGCAGCATGTGCTGCTCTGCTTGCTGTGTAGGCGAGT